ACGCGTCACTGAATTATTACAGTATTTTCTCTCGCCCTTTTCTGGTAATATGATGGGAGGCTACACAACGTGAAGCCTAGGGGCCTCTGATCACCTTAATCCGCCACTGGCAGCCTGAAAACATCGTTTTATTGTGTAACTCCTTGGGATCTCTTTGCCAGGCTTCGTTAGATCTCTGCCGAACACAAAAAGATTCCTTTGCAAAGCATTTCTGCTCGATAACTTGAACGGAGTCTGGCTTTCAGACAGTAAAAGTAAGCTTTAGGAAGAACTGGCCTCAAAGGAACAGAGAAGCACTAATACACCAACCTTAGACTTTGCTAAACAATTGGATCAAGGGTGTCCCTTGGCCCCAACTTTTTGTTGTTTTTTAGAAAAAGAGCAGTACCCCCGACTGACGTCAGCGATAAGATACCCGGAATTAATGTCCGTGATTAATAAAGGGAAGAGCTCTTCCAAATCTCATACACATATACTGGTACAGTATATCAGCAAAGAGCTCTGGACAAGTCAGTACCAGCAACTGCATTTTTATGTAAAACGTCCCTTCTGATGGTAGAGAAATGGTATCATTAGCCATAGAAATCACAGGCTTCTCATTCCAAAAGGTGATTAGTTAAAAAAGTAGGAATAAGAAAAATACATATGTACATGTGCTTTTTGTGTTTTCCACCTCTGAGCAAGTAACACTTCATCTGATCTGCAGCCCTGCAGGGTTTCTTGCTAAACTTGCCTCAGTTTTAGTTGCTTTATCCATTAAAGCTGTTGGGGAGACGGATCCTATCCTATCCTGGCAAGCAACAGGCACAAGGTGGGATACACTTATTGCCTGTATAGTCTGCTTCAGTGGGAGACCCCTTCAACTTGCTGAGGGGGTCTGTTGGCACAATACAGGCCTTTTGTGTTTCTCAGACTTTGGGCTCTAGCTGGGGGAAGCTACACTGTATTATGGCACAGTCTGGAAAGAGAGAAGATTGTAGACAGTGATAAACCAAAGATTCACTTTCTACATCGCTAAATATAGTCCGGATATTTCGCACCTAACGAAACAACACTACAGAGATGAAAAGTAAAAAAAAAAAAACAGAAGTGTCACTCAAGGAGAAAACAAGAAGGTACAAAAATATAATTAAAAAGTAACATAAGACACCTAGAAGAAATTCAATTCGCCGATTTGTATCGGGTTTATTTCACTTTCAGTCTGTGGCATGTCTTAACGATTTCAGCAGACACTTCAGTGAATCCCGAGGGAGGAAGGAGTAATGTCGGTATTTTGGAGAAAATGAGCTGTCACTGGCTGTCAAGGGGAAAGATTGCTGTCGGAGAGAAGTAAAAGCAGAAATACCAACCCAGAGACAGCAAGGGAATAACATCAGTTATACTTCTAATAGGTGCTGACGCAGGAAGAGCCAGCTCTGAGAGGTCTATCACCTTAGATATGACCAAGACTTGCTCAGATTCCAGCCTCTGACCTGTCAGACTCTGTTGGAGAAGGGGAGCCATCTTGAAGTGATTATACCGAGCTGCACAAACAGCATTGCTCAACAGTCCCTTCTTTTCCTTGTGTTAGAAACTGATTGTTATTATGCTCTCTCCTGTCCACCTCTGTGGCTCTTTTCCTGATTCACACCAGACGCTCAGAAAGACAACTGCAAGGACAAAAATAGTGACTTGGAAAGAAAACACACTGGAATTTCTTTGTTGTGCAACACGGCACTTCACAGTTTCTCAGATCTGTTTGTTTAGGCCCCGTTATCAGTAAGGACAGGCTGGATTTATTTCACAGGTAATCTGCACGTGATACAACACCGAGCGCTCGCAAACAAGGCTGTATGTGGTAGTTGTGTCTTGTGCTTGAGGCAGGGCAACATGTAGACATTTATGCAGAAGAGAATAACATCTGTGTATCACACTGTTCAGCAGTCTTTTTTGGTGCATCAGCCAAAGACCTGTCATTTTATTTTATTAGACCCTTTTCTCTCCTTCCCTCTGGTGTGGTACTAACATTTCAAACTAGAGCAGGCATGCTACAGAAAGGGCTGACTCAGAAGTGGACCAGATTGTGTTGATGCTTTTTTCTAAAGCGAGATATAAAAAGAGATATTTTATGGGCTCAAATCTCCTCCTTCACAGCGGTGGGTCTCCAATCCCACCAATCTAGGCACTAGTCTAGCAAGTCTTATAGGTCGCTTGTTTCTAAAAACCAGGACCGTTTCTTAATCAATCACATTATTAATCAATACATTCTAGGAAACGCTGGTCCTTGAGAGCTGAAGATTGGTGTTCCGGATGATCTCCAAATCCCTTAATGTAACAAACCACCTTCAACTGATCACCTGTGCATGGTATTAGAGCTTGCTGGTTAGGGTCTGTGGTGTATTATGGTGAGTAATCTTTACTGTAGGAGAGGAAAATCATATTCTCCATGTCCAACCTCATCGACACTGCAGGTTTACAGACTAAACAGAACTAAGTGGAGGTGAACGCTGCCTTATGCAAGGTGACATCAGTCAAATAATTCATTACAGTTCTAAGTGGCATGTAAGGGATTACTTTTTAAAAGTAACAAGGTGTCCAATAGTTTGGTCAAACCCTCATTAAGAAGGAGAAGGCGTATTATAAGGGCAATACCTGTGTAAGGAAGGGGCTGGCGGGACCTCAGTTATTTTGCTGAGGAAAGAACCAGGGAGCAAAGACGAATCACGCAAGTCAATGTGAGCTGTAGGAGTTACTGTTGCTCAGCTCCTCAGGGAGGGGGAAGTGGGTGAGATTAGGATTCGTCTTGAACCCAACCACCTGACTCCGTTTGAAGGAGAATTGGGAAGTTGGTAACAGTGATCTATGGTACATAGTGTGCATGACATACTACCTAAAGCAACATTACCTGGCAAAGCTTTTATTTTAAGAAGCTACACATGTTGTCACTCACTGCCCATACTCTCTCACTGCTCCTGTTCACTGGTCTGCTTCTGCACTCATACAGAGACAATCACCGGGCTGTCCTGGATCAAGGAATAGTTACTGGCTTTCTGACAGGGAATGCCATTTGCCGTTGTTCCAGGCTATTTTTCCCCCATCTGGGAAGCTTTAATTTTTCCTGCTTTGCACTGATCCAGGGCTTGAATGGCCTAAATAAAACACAACTGTTGCTGTGAACTCAGATTCACTGCAGGACCTCGGGCCTCATGTGCCGTCTTCCAACACACTTAATACCAGCAAGCAAGGATTTACTCTCACTTCAAAACATCCTCTGAAGAGAAAAAAAATCCTTCTTTCAATTCAGTTCCTAAGCAGCAGGATGTTTCTGAGGGAGGCAGATACACTTTGGATTGGGATACGGTACAAGCCCTAACTTGAGGCCAAGTTATTTGCTTCGCTGGAAAGACTCCAGACTGCATCGACCACACTGCTCAGCCACAGGAAATTCATATTAAAAGAGGAATTTGGGAGCCTTTGCAGGGCTTCCTGCTGTCCAACCTGCTCTGGGAGAACAAGAGACTGGAACATCATCCCTGTCCTCAGTCCACTTCGCCTGATGAAGATTGCAACAAGACAGGACTAATCCATAGAAACAGATTCTATTTAAGACTGAAAGGTGTTAATAAAGTGTGAATACCCCTTTATTGACCTCAACCGAAACACAGGGCACCTCTCAGGTGGTTCAAATAGCCCCTAAATATGAATGCTTCTAACAGAAAACACCTGCTTGAATTGGCAAAGTCCACATCCATACAAGGAAGGTGATCGCGAAGCTTGAGACTTCATTGCAAAAGCACTGCAATTTGCATTTTAAAACTAGATATGGGCAAGGTTTTCAATATGTTAACCTGGGAAAGCCTCACCTGAATCAACAAGTGCACCAAACCCACCCCTTCATAGACCTGCAGGTCTCCCCTCTACTGCCTTCAGCTTGGTCTTGATCTGCATGGGGCGGGGTGCACACATCAAGCAAGGAAGCTGGGCTCCCAGTAACCAGGTGAAGCAGCTGATGAGCTCCATGGTCCAGCTCCTGCAGGTTCGATCCACAACACTGTTCGGCTGTGGAGTGCCGAACTAGACACAACTGTCAGTGCTGCTGGGTGCAAGACTGGGGATCAGGCATCTAGGGCTCTCCCCTCCCCAGCAAAACAACAGCTTCCCAGGTAGCTGCAGGCTTGCTGTGGAGATCCCAGAGTCCTATGGGTCAAGGCTCTGCAGGAGGTCATTGGGATCCTTCTTGTTCAAATAGGAGATTCCAGCTTGGTGAGGTGGTATTAGAATCCCCCCACCCAGGGATTTTCTTTTTTTTTTTTTAATTATGTGGCACAGTGAAATACATATTTTATTTATTCACCACAAAACAAACATTACAAAAAGCTTGAGTGCTAAGAAAGCAAAATTCCAGAGAGCCCAGGGATGGGATGCTTCTGGGTGCAGGATGAGTTTTGTACGTTGTCTAAAATATTGGGCAAGCGCACCACCTCCTACCACATGACCCCTGCTGGTGAGTAACACACCCTCATTGCCTAAAGGTCACAAGGTCTGTCCAGGCCTGCCAGGCCTCAGATCTGCACCGGTGACAATCGGACACCCATTATCATCAACCTGCGTCCCCAAGAGACCAACATGCATGAAAATCTACTGGGGTCCAGCCTCTGGTTTAAGAGATGATTGACCCCTCAGGTGAGGGGGTTGGGATTTCTGTATCTTTTAGACCTTACTCTTGGCAAGTACAGCCTCCAATACCCCTGCAAAAAATAAACCGGATCAAGAACTTAGCTTTAGACTAAGACAACTGAAATGGCCCCTTGCTCCTTGGGTCATTGGACGTTTGTTTTTCATTTGGCTCAGGAGACTTGCTGAAACTGTGATGTTCTCACCCACCCCTCTGTACACCGGCCCAAAATGAGACGTGGCAACAGCAAGGCATCATAAATAAGATTTTGTAGGATATTATGGCACTGAGGGCTCCTGTGCTTTTCCAAATGTTAGAGGAGAAAAAGTTGACCACCACAGGCACATTGAGATGTACAGTCTTTATTTTCTTCATGTCCGAACGATGTAGGCACATGGGTGCTACCGGTTTTCATAAGCCCCTCACTCATTTCTGACCTCTTGGCTCCAACTTTCCGGAATTAAACAATTTTATACAATAAAAAAAACCCATGAGGACATTAATGGAAATACAATTTATATATATATATAGAATCTTAAAACAGTAACAACAATACACACAATAGAAAAATAGTTTCTGATAGGACAATCTTCTAAAAACATAACGGAAAAGAAAATGTACACAACTCATTACCGATCAATCCTATTACATCTGTGAATTTTCCTCCTCTCCCAACAGGGACACTGAATTTCTCCTTTAGGTAAAGCTTTTGGATTCAGAAAGAACATTTGTACCATACTCCGTTTCTACATTTTTGAATTATTGATGTCTCTTTTCACCCACACTTGCCTGTTAAAATTCTAACACCCCGCACAGAAAAACCTTTAACAGCAAGAACTATTACATGGCAAACATTTTTTAATGAATATAGTACTAAAAAAAACATAAAAAAGCAGAACAAAGAAATCATGTGCAATATTAGCAGTCGACATGACTGACGGATCTAAAGAGTTTTAAAAAAACGAACATCTGTCATGTCTGGCACTCTGTGGAATGTCGTAAAAAATAAAAATAAAACTTTTTTTTTGGCAGAAGGTGAATTTTCAAGATCCGTGACAGGATCACACAGGAAGTCTTTACTGCACTGCATGTCTGCGGAGGTCACCAAATATTCCACCGTCTGAAAAGTGCTTCAAAACAAGACAATCCCTTCCAGCGAGGGGGACGTCTTTTTTGGGGGGAGGGAATAGGAAAAATGGATCCTGTGAAACCATGTCCTGAAGAGGCAGCCCAACAGAAAGGCTTCGCTCAGTTTGAGAGCTTTTTTTTTTAAAAAAAAAAATAGAAGCTGAACTGTCAAAGCCCCCTGAGTCAACCAACCGCCACCCACAATATCGTCGATGTGGGACAGTTCACAGTACATCTCCTGGGCCAGATGTTCCTTGTGTTCGCGATTGTCCACAGGCTTGGCGAGTTGGTACAGGTCCGACTGCTAAGCAGAAAAAAAAAAGAGGGCTTTCAAAAGCTCCACAGCTGAGATTTCTATTCATCCCAGACCCAGGGCTCTCCTTTTTAAGGAAACCGTTTTGCATCGTAAGTCCTAAGGCTGGTTTGGGGAGAAGGGGGGCCACGAACAGAAACAGCAACAACAACAATGTGAAAATGTCCCCGTTGTCCACACCCTATTCCTGTGATGACAATCTGGAGCACGTGGGGGAAAACAACTTTTGCATTTAAGCCGCCCCACAGCCAGCTCCACCACAAACAGGTCGTAGCCTCGTTTTCTGGCCCAAATAAAAGGAAAAACAGAAACGGCCGAGCAGGCAAATCCAGCTTTCTCCCTCCCCAAAACCCACGCGGGCCCATGTGGATCACAGGAGCCAGGCTTGGAGCCGAAGAAGCGGTTTGTCCCTCCAGCCTGCTCATTACACACTGACTCTCACACAAGAGTCACACGTGTTCAGGGCCAACGGTAGCGCTGTGGCGGCCCACAAATCGGGCAGCCGGCTTCCCCAATGGCTTCCTTTCGGTGGAGGAGGACTCAGCAGTAGATCTGAGGCTGGATCTCCGAGCGGGCCCCGAAGGGCTCGTCGAAGGGGAAGGCGCCCCTCACGGCCTTCAGGTCGCTCTGGCTGGAGCAGAGGGTGTAGGACGCCATGATGACCAGCTCCTGGGCCGAGTCGGGACTCTCCGGCTCGGACTCTGCCTCCTCCAGGGACGGCAGCAGGCCGGCGTGTGGCTGAGGAGGGCCAGACAGCCAGGGGTGCTGCAGACACTCCTCTGCTGTGGCTCTTTTCCTGCAATCAATGAACCCGCACAGATCGTTAACTCCGCGCTTGGCATCAGGAGCAGCTTTCAAAAAAACATTTCATCCCTTGTCTGGGGTTTATCATAAACCTCAGGGCTATTTTTGAAGGACACTTGTAGCTCTGACCTCAGCTGTCCCTGCCGCTGGCCACAGATGTAAATGGTCTGAATATATTTGTCTTTACAGGCCATTGACTCTGTTTTAGGCAAAAATGCACACAGCCCCACCCAGCTACCCTGTGCTGCTGCAGAGATTCCGATCCGATTCGGGCATTCCTGCACTTTAAGCCGCGGCCTTCCTTTTCCCCGGCAGAATGATCTAGGTTTTTTAATAAACCTCGTCTTTCCCCACAGCCATCCGTGTATTTCATTCTGGCTGTGTTAATACCACTCCTGTTTTCCAGCCAGGGCCATAATACCAGCAGTGACTTTGGGATTAGGCTAGGAACCAGCTCGACTTTAATCACTTGACTGCAAGCCACTCTCGTAGTTCATCAGAGGAGGTGTGTGGGGGGGGGGGAGAGATGAGATATACTTTGTTTCAGTTCTCAAGTAACGCCAGGCAGACAACACAATGAGGACTGGAAAACAAGTCCTAAAACCAAAGTGCACCCAGACAGAGGGACCTCTCTCCGAGCACTATCCTGTACAGTGCACTTCTTTTTTTTTTCCCTCCTCCAAGCATTCCATGATGAGAAGGCATTTTTCCCCTAAATTAACATTCCATCGTCTCTGGCAAAAATAAGAATGGCCACCTTCTAGTGGTGCCCTGATCACTTGTGTTGGGCAACAGAAATCTACAATAGACGGCTTTTTGTTATGAAATTGATATCCCTTCCCCTCAAAATAAACCATGGAAGCACACCCTCCCCCACTCCTCCTACCCAGCTAAAGATTTTCTACTTATTATCCACCAGGGAAGGTTTACAGGCATTGTCAAAGGTTCAGTGTTTAGAACAGCCAATCTGCACTTTAATGGTGTGAAAAACTGAATCATGCCTCCTTTGCCGGAGCCAAGAGTGTTACAAGGTATTGAAGGATATAGGGATAGAAAAGATCACCTGCCTACACTACAAAGCAACTAGACAGCAATAACCAGCTGATTTAATGCTGCAGATATGCAACCCATTACCTTGAATGGGAAGAGAGCAGCACTTTCAGCCAAAAGTGCTAAAGATTAAACCCTGCAGCTTCAGTTTTTCAGTGGCCATTTCCCCAACATGTGCATAAAACAGATGGCTCCATTACCAAAAAGGTCTTTGTAAAGCTACGCAAATTCAACATGCTGCTTCCATTAGAACCATTGATATCCAAGCACAAAGCCCTATGTGTCAAAGTATCTTCACAGAGTACAGTTCTGTGCAGTACAGCCCTCTTATTCACACTCACTCGCTCTCAGGGAAACAAGCGTGGTCTAGGACCAGTCAGGCAGCGATTACTCCAGGGCCTACCTGGGGTTCTTGATGAGCAGGGTCTTGATGAAGTCGACAGCCAGATTGGACACCCCTTCGAAGACATCTTGGGAGTAGTCCACGTTGACCTGGGAGATGTTGAGGAAGGTCTCCTGCTTATCCTCACCCAGGAAGGGAGATTCTCCCGTCAACATAACGTACGCAAGCACCCCGATACTCCTGACAGGAGGAAGCAGCAGTGGAGAGGCCATTTGAATCACACCTTGTAGAACTTGGAACAAAGCAGTGACCTCACTAACTTGGTTGCGAGTATTCTTTGCTCTGGTCACATTAATGAACTGCATCAAATTGGGATCATATCTGTAAAAGTTTCATGCAACAAAAATGAACAAACAAGTGGGTTCCGTGTGTTAGGTTCCAATTAGAATTAGACTTATTTTGCAATAAGTTTTATCTGGTTAAAAAATAAAACATCACTCTAGTTTCCCTATTTTATATGGGGCTGTTTCTAAAGGTCAGTCTCAGCTCAACTATGCTTATGTACTCACCACATGTCTGTCGCTGTGCTGATGGGCTCATAGTTCAGGATTTCTGGCGCTGTAAAAGAATTAGGGCCCACAGTGAAAAAAAGACTCAAAAAATAGATACAAGAAGTGATTCAAGCATCATGACAAGAATAATTAAAAGACCAGTGAAGAGTGGGTTAAAGTTAAAATTAGTTGATAAAGGTCAACATTTAAACTGCTAATATTTAACACAAAACATTGACAAGTGACAAGCTAAGACAAACCTCCTGCTATCAATACAATACCATGTACTGTAAATGCGTGCAGGGGGAATAACAAAAAGACGAGCACACTCACCGACATACTCCGGAGTGCCAAGGATCTCTCGCACTTCCTTCACATTGTCCATCCGTCTGGACAGGCCGAAATCCACTATGCGGATGTCCCCCAGGGGTCGAGAGCTGGTCAGCAAGAGGTTCTGAGGCTGCGGAGACCAGAATCGACATGTTCACTTAACATATAAGCACCAAGAGCAATCAGTCGGCACATCCACAGAGGCACTGCTGGATCATGGCAGAAGATTGTTCACATCACTCTGAAGGCTAGCCTCACCTAAAAACTAAATCTCTCTCTCACTCGGTTGCTTAGCTTATCAATCCAAAACTCCCCACAAAGGTAATTCTTAAAGGCTCCGTCAATGTTTTTTTAAACTGCAATTCTGCATGACCTCAAAGAATCCCACCTGCCAGCCCACCTTTCCCGAAAGGAATCTAGATTTCGTTTGTCTCTGAAGTTGAGGAAGAGTACCTTTATTCCACAGTACAATTTAAAAGTCCACTTTTAAATCAAGGTCTTGCCACTATTTTGTTCCTCAAAGAGAACCCTGAACTTTTCCACCACGTCATAGAATGTACCTTTTGAGAGTTTATATTCCCCATGTTTTCAGAAAGGCAAAACGAGCAATTCCATGGTTGAGGAGGGAAATTTTTAAAAACCTTAAGATTAAGCAATTCAAGGTGACTAAAATGAGCAGAGAAGGACAAATCTAGGTTGTTAGATTTCCCTATAAGTGCCTCAAACCACCTCTTAATAGATATTAGCAATGGCTTAATCTTCTCGGTAGGAGGTTGAGCTTTATCCTACAACAGGATCACTTAACTACTAACTACCCAATGGACTAGACGGGTCAAATGGCCTCATCTTGCTTATAATCCCTGTATGTTTTTACGAGAGGAATGGGGGGCCAAAAGCCTCCTCACTGAGAGAGGACTGACCTTCATGTCCAGGTGCACCACATTATTGCGATGCAGGTACGCCACGCCACTCAGGATCTGGCGCACCAGCCGAATGACATCCTTCTCCGTGAAGGCCTCATCATTGTCCGCCACGCACTGGTTGAAGATCTCCCCACCGGCAGCACTATGCGGAAACAGAAACCAGGAAGCATTAAAACACTTGACTCGAACCGAATGTTGAGAAGCGCTTTCTAAAGCTAGAATCAAAGGCGGACAGTCCACTGCCTCAAAGACGGCACACTGTAAAAATTCCATCCATTCCCTCAGATCTTAAGCTGTTCACGATAAGAGTGACAAACGACCTGCAGGACAGACCTCCAAAGTTGGGGATCCCCCATCCATATAAAAAAATTGAACTGTCCTAAACATTTTTTGCTTCAGAGCAACAAAAGATGCTTTGCATTTCCGAGACTGAAAGTTTTAGGAGTGCAAATCTGAAAATGTAGGTGTGCGAGAAAAGTGAATGATTCCACCCCAAACACTTAGAATTACAGTTAGACCAAACTCCCTGAAGGAACAAGACAGATCCAGGAAACTTCCATTAAGAACTAACTTCCACTGCAGGAGAAAAGCTCAGAAAATCGTTATGCAGATCTCAACCCTTCTCCCTCTTCCATCAAACAAAAAAATAACTTCTGCTTTAAGAAAAGAAGTCTGGGACTCATCACATAACTACAAGAATTGCAGCACTGCAAAAACTTCTCATTAATCTCCCCTCCAGGTAGAGTCAATTTTGCAGCCTTGGAATGACATCATATTACATCTTATTATACTTTGGCATGACAGAAAAAGCCTTCTTTTTGTTCTGTCTCAGATAGCATGTGATCTTCCACAGGTCTAAACAGCACACAATAAATCAAATGGCTTAACTGTGCTTTTGCTCCCTAAATTCTACAGACCAAATTGCAAAAGAAAGATCTGGCCCATGGGAAAGATAAGCACTGGAGTGCCAGCAAACTTGTGATAAGATAAAATGCAAACATTAGGTCTGGTGTTCCTTTGCATATCATGCAATTTACATGAGTAACTGGAGTTACTTGGACATCAGTGTGTCTCACTAAAGGTTAGGGAACTTTAGATGCATTTCCAAACCCCAGACCAGAAAAGGGCTCAGTCTGTTGCATGGGTCATGGATGGAAAAGGAAACTCTACAATAAACAACCTCAATAGCTCTTCGGCGTGAAACACTGTAGATCTCTCAGCATGGCAGCAGTCAGTAAACACAGAGGTGTTGCAACACTTGCATTCCAAGGAACTAAAAAGCAAAGGGTCACAAAAAGATGCCTCTAGTGAGGGGGTTGCCCCAAACAAAAGTGTGGGCAACACCCGGCTCTCAGCCTGGTGGTCTGTTTTGGGTACTGTAGTTAAAATAACCACCCTCCCACTGCCCCCAGCTGTGAAAACGGGTCCCGTTTATTTCAAATCGGCATTGTGCAAGAGCCGTAAGAAAGGATACAGGAAGGTTTACGCTGATGTATTGACCTCCAGTAAATAAAACATGCCAAGCCGACTGGTTCCACCCAGCCCAATCTGATGATCTGTCTCTTCCAGTGTCTTTATAACCACAGAGCTTTTTCACACATGGAGAACAATGGAGGGAGGGGGACTGTACTGCAGTAAGGGGGGGAATTACCCTTTACTCTGTACACCATCTTCATTAGGCACACAGTTACATTGTAAAAGACTACAGCCACAGCTCCTGGTTAAATTCGGATGCTGCAAGCCGGAACCTCAATAGATCGGTTTGAAAAGGTACAAGAAGAACCTTGGAAGTTGCGTTCTATTCCTTTCAAACAAAGGGAGCAATGGATATACTCTGGCTCAAGTGACACGCGACCAAAACCTACTAAAGGCAGAGCCACAAAACGTCACCCCAGCGTTACAGCACGTTCTTCCCAAGCCAGATTCCGGTTCATTTGCGTCGGCAAAAAAACAAACTGGGCCTTTAAATTGAACATTCAGCAAATTAAGTAGACAGTCACTGCAAATCAGATAAGGAGGCTGCTGATAACCAGGGTGAAGGATGTGCCCTTCAGACCTTGAGACTAGTCTACTTAGAAGACTCCACACTGCATCTTAAGAGGTCCTGCAATAGTATTAAGTAGGATGTTTGCTCAGGATAAACCTAATCTAATGCAGTCTGCCAGAGAGGAATACATTCTCATTGACGTCCGTCTTAACCGTTTCTAAATCGGTCCAAAGTCTTGATTGGACTCCACCCTATGGCGTGCATTAGCTGGAGATGGCAGGCTGGAGTTCATTGCAGAATAGACCTTCTGGTAGCTGCCAGCTAAACCCAGTTTAGATTAAATTTTTTGTTTGTTGTTCCCAGTACCCCTAAACAATCTGAAACACTGGAACACCTGAACTGAAAGCTAGCTACCAGCCCTCCAGAAGGCTGTACTCTTGCAGCAGGCCTCTGGTCCCTGGCATCCTTTTATAACCTGGAGGTCTCATCAGTCCACAAAACAATTGTCCTCTGAGGAGAAAGGCTTTCTTTCGCTTTGGTGTGGTAAAAGGATAATTAATTGACACTTAATAGCTTCCCACTACTGCTGAGTAAGTTTAACCTTTTCTTCGATTTAGGATTTAACCAAGTTATTCAGTGATTTCAGTTATTGACTGAAACACAAACACCTTGAAGTTTAAAAACCCTTCTAAAGAGTGGAAATTAATACATATTCAAGTGTGCATTCCTTTATCCTTTTTATAGAGTATATTGATATAAATATATTACATACAGTGTATAAGAAGGTACATGACAAATATGAAGTGAATCCAATGCTTAGACACATTGCCCAAGAGTGCAGTCGCAGACCAAAACATCAGATAGCACTATTTGAGATGAAAGCAACCTCATGCCCTTTATTTGAATTTTTAAAAAAAGGGGAAAAAAACAGATCTGAGTTAAGACCTTTAAAATAAACATCCCTAAACCTCAGGAATGCCTCCAGCAGTCAGTGAGGTTCAGCCAAACCTCTTGAGTTTCACAAGAGATGATTTTTCATAAACAGTGAGCATGTCATTAAGGCCGCGTGCACGCAGAGCTGTAATTTAAAAGGCAGGCTGGATCGCCGACTGAAGGCTGCAATTTTCAAGCAGTGGCTCAGCTGGTTCTGTGGTCGATCAGCGCTGGGGAGGGTTGACAAAGGGGTCACACCAGCGCACTCTAACCCAAGAGCTCTTCTTTTGCCGATGCCCTGTTCTCTACCGGTCAGCCCTGCTGTTAGCTACCCTTCCACATCGGGAAGAGGAGAAAAGGCAGCCAGACTATTAAACAGCCGGCACGCTTCCACTAATAAGTCACGAAAAAAAAGGGGCAAGTCTTTTTAAAAAAAACACTGTGAAGGATTGTTTCATTCTTAAGCAATGAACTAAAGTCACATTCTATTTATACCTCATTACAGCACCACCAAAAGCAGTCTATTTTTTATATTTAAAGGAAAGAGGTAAAGATGCTTCAAATGCAAAACTTAAGCTGACATTTTTTTATATGAAAAACACCACATCCGTACACATTCTGTAGGATGACTAACATTTGTCTACTGTTCATAACCGATACTTCACAGAAAACAAATCTTACATCTGTGATATTTTAGTACCTTGAAAACTCCTAATTTATTAGATAATTTCCCCAAGGTGGGTACAAAGAACCGCTGGCAGTCACACTAAAGTTACTGGGGAGTGCATCTATCAGTGTTATTTTGCATTTCTGTGACTCAGAATGTGGAAAAACTCTTCTGCAGAAAGGACTTGGCTGGGGCAGTTCACTGGTCAAGAGCAAAGATATACAGTAACCTGCATGCCTTTCTGCCTGGCATTACAGTGCTAAGACAAGTATTTCACACGCGCAAGTATATAAAGATGTTCACAAATGAGCAAAACATTCCCATTCCAAAAAAACCACAAAGCCCAACCACTGATGAGAGTTCCTTTCGTGAAAGCAAATGTGAATCACTCGGTAGCATTCCTGAGAAGCAGATGCAGTAAAAACTTGTGGTTGGTTTGGGTAAATTGTTCCAAAAAGTCTGTAGTTTCCCCGTCAGGTCAATTACGTAAGTAGAAATGGGTATCTGCTGACATCAGCTCGGCAAAGCAAGTCTTAATGATCCTTCTCCATCATTACAAATCAGCAGTTAAGCAATATAAAAAAAAATAGTTTGCAGTATTCTTGGAAGGGTTCTGATGAGCCAGTTATAGCAAGATAAAGTGATCGCAACAAAAACCAAAGGTCATGGCCTGATTACACGTATACCAGCACAGAGCAAAGAGCAAGCGATGAGAAAGGGAAACTTGGTGGGCAGAGAGTGAAAGCTGTGGTGCGCACTATTGTACAATAACCCAACAATGGAACAGGAGCTGTCCTGCTCATATGGCAACAAAAACACCAACAACACCAGGGGTTGTACAGTCCCCTGTCCTCCTTCACTTGGGGGGGGGTCACTCGTGTTTTCAAGTAAAATCCCTTTTTCAAAGCCCATTCTTCCTGCCATCTGAAGGCACAGCACAAGTATCCACAAAGGGCGAAAGATGAAACTCAATCACGCGGCTCGGCGAATGCAGCTGTGCCCTTATAAGCTTCCCAAGAGCCCTAATCAATCAGCAGCAAATGGATCCTCCGTTTTTAAGTCTGCTTTAAGTTTGCACCTCTGCTCAACAGGCAGAAACTTTTTTTTAGAGAGAAAATAAATCCCGCATTCTTCACATTTTCAAGACTCGCGTCAGGCGTCTAACTGAAGAAGAAAGGAGCTCTGGTTCTTCAGGCTGAAAGACTGGAGGCCCCTGTGGTGAGCACTGTGCAAGAGCACCCTGGACACAAAGACCAGAGCAATGTTAACTCTGCTGCTGTACCTCATTAAGGTCGGAATGTTTTCTTTTCCTTCTTGGCCAAACTGATCAGCAAACGAGATCTGGACCACAACATTAGCTGTTAGATTAATAAGGGTACAAATAGGTGTGGTAGGTCAAAGTAGAAAAAAAAAATCAATGGCAATCATTGATAGGTGGGGGAGCAGAAAAGCCTTTTCTATACAAACTCTTAAAGCCACGATGCAGCTGAAAACAAACGCTTTTGCCAAGTCAGCTGCACTTATTTGAAAGTTTCAAAAATAAAGAAAGCTCTACCCTGAGAAATGGCTCCTCAGACCAACTTTGCTTTTAAAATGGAGCGATTGTTTCTGAGGAGGTAATTTGCACTTTCAATTCGTCCAAACGATGTCAAGTGAACAGGAGCATGCTGGGAAAGGTTCCGTGGTCCTCAGCGTATGGGCGTATTTTTCAGGGCCCCCTGATCCCCAGGACATGGCCATACCTTGAACGCCACAGGCTGCCTGTGATGAAGAAGGCTAGGAACAAGCCATCAGGCAAACACTCCACTCTTCATGAAACAAGTTTAGCTATTGTCAGATAGCTTTGTTCCACAAATGGATTAAGTTAACAGCTATAAACTGATTTGCTGCAATAGAGAATTAGGAGTGATAATCTTTTGTAGGCAGAAGTCACAGCAAAGAAGAGGCTTCTGACTTAAGACCTAAGCAAGGAATTCTCCATATTAATAGAACAGGTCTTCCTTTATCCTTTTGCACGAGGTTTTACAGGAGTCAGTGATCACAGCTGTAGGACTTTGTAGGTTAATACGAAGCACCAGCACCTGCAGAGCTGGCAGAAGCTGTTAAATTGGTCCCATTATGCCAATAACAGCAGTGCATGGTTTAGATCTTTGATCTCTTAAAAGATGAAGATGAAGAATAAATACCGATGCATTTCTGCTTAAACGACAGCATGTGCTGCATCAGAAACCCTGCGATACCACACGTCTTTTTCAGAGAAATGCTCGGTTGTGACAGTCTCTGCATGCACAGGATTAAAAACCCCATCAAGGTCGTTTTTGCTTCAGCCTCTCATGTATTATAGAAGGATGTGGTTGTGGCTGTGAATCTGTATTGCCTGCTTTTTTGGAACCTATCTGCTTCACGACTCGCGTCCTCAGCTGCGGATATGGAAATTTTTCTTGTTTTTTTTCTTTGAATAACCCACGCTCCCCGGTTAAGAACCCTGACAAGATGTGCCCTGCGGCTGGCTATGTACACATGCCGACATTCATATGCGCCGCGGCATTTGGGGCACTTTAAACCAAAGATTGAGAAGGTCACGATCACACTTGGAATGGTCAAAACAAAACCGGTCCTGCGAGCAGAATCTGTCCAACAGGACCTTAGCAAGTCGCACGGAAACCAAAGTGGTCCGAGGACGTTTTCCAATCTTTCCTTTCAGCTTGAGTCTGAGCTGTGAAGCATCGTTCCCCAGTGAAATGACATCCTACAGCAGAGCAAGGGGCTCTGTAAGTTTGCTCTGACAAGCAAAAAAAAACCACCCACTCCTGTTCAGCACGTTTTAACCACAGGAGCTGCTCTCTGGACGGGTAAGCTGGCATGGAGGCACTGGCAGAGAGCTTATTTGACTCTTGTGAACAGTAAATCCTAATATAAAGTCAGGGCATTGGGAGCTATATTTTATTTTCAGTTTAAATTGCCAAAAACATTGTCTGGATTCATAAATGAATGTACAGCTGTGGAGCTGAATATTCATAACCTTCGTCTTTATTTCCAACCTATTTCTAGGGCAAGTGAGTGCACAATGAACACAAGAGATACTGCTGGCACATACACAAATCTTATCAGAATCTATACAGAAAAGGTATTAATAATAATAATAATAATAATAATTGCTTACACTTATATAGCGCTTTTTCTGGACACTCCACTCAAAGCGCTTTACAGGTAATGGGGATCCCCTCCACCACCACCAGTGTGCAGCATCCACCTGGATGATGCGACGGCAGCCATAGTGCGCCAGAACGCTCACCACACATCAGCTATCAGTGGGGAGGAGAGCAGAGTAATGTAGCCAATTCATAGAGGGGGATCATTAGGAGGCCATGATGGGGTAAAGGCCAGGGGGGAAATTTGGCCAGGACACCGGGGTTACACCCCTACTCTTTTCGAGAAGCGCCCTGGGATTTTTAATGACAACAGAGAGTATTACTCCTAATATGCAATATATTATTTCCATTACTCCTAATAAGTGGAACATATTGTTAAGGATACAGGGATACCTGCATGTGCCTATAAAAATATCATTAAAGATTTAAATGCCATGTTATACAAGGAGATCTTCCAATCTATTGCAATAACTTAAAAATAAGCCAGACCTGAAAACTTATTCCCACTTATTTGCCAGGAGTGGGATTTCACAGGTGTGATAACAGACTTACTATATTAAATTTAAAACATCCCCATGCATCTGTAAAGGTGTCTTATTTTAAATAAAGGCTTTACAGATCTTTGAAAATGAGAAAAGTAAAAACTTTGCATAGAACTAGTCCCTTTTTAACAGATCGCTGGTCTACTTCCTTAAAAGGTAAAAAAAGAAAAGATGAACTTTGACGAGCCGACAGTCTGAGGTGAGACTGCTGCACGTCAGTCTGTGCTGTTCTCAGGAAACCTGTGAAGATTTCATCTCATTTCTGCCAAATGCAACCAAAACCTGCTCGCAAGCTTCCTGTACATTTCTGAATCGTGGTTAAAACCCCTGACATTCAAAACACTTTGTCTGCATTCTCATTCTTCATGCCCTTGGTTATCACCAACCAGAGTTTCCGAATCGAATAAAAAAAAGTAAATTACTGCATAATCCCATTCGCTGGGGAGTTTATCGTTTATCGCTCGATCCTTTTTCCTGGCAAATGAGTCAGGCGAGGTGCAAAAAACTAAAGGGAAACAAAAATGAGAAGCCTTAGAAACCCTGCATTCCCTCCCCAGGCTGGGTGCGTTTCAGTTGAACGAAAAAGCAATGGATTACTAACTGAAGTCGCCTGCAGTTCACAATGCACTCTCGAACTAAAGGAGAGTTGCAAGGTCCTTCTTGTTTGTAAATGATCAGATCAACTGCCATCCCCATTGACACAAATTCACCAACGCCATAAAACCCTTCGCTGTGTTATTGCGTCGATCTTGCTCACTGCTCGTCTCCTCGTCTCTGAGGGTTTTGCTTGTCTCAACAGAATACCAACTGCCATTAGGCTCAGGGATCTTGAGTTCTCTTCCACAGGCTCTTGGTGACAATTTATTTTCGGGTGGGTTTGGGGGAGACGTTTTGCAAGACTTTTACCAAGAGGCAAACTCCAGCTCCTTGCCTTTGAGCACCAGAAAGATTCCCACATGGAACACCGACACCGTGCTGCATCACAAGCTGATCTACAGCACGTGCCAGGTCGCCCATCATCAACATTTGTCAAGACGAAGAGAGAGAGGGGAGGAGTGTGGGAACTTACTATTCCAGCACCAGGATGATTTCGGAGGTGGTCTCGTAGACCTCGTGCAGCGACACCACGAAGGGGTTGGCCTTGGCCGACTCCAGGATGGCGATCTCGTTGATGATGTCCCTGCGGCAGTCTTCGCCCTTCCGCCTCTTGCGCAGGAATTTGGCGGCGTGCTCGTTCCCCGTCGCCTTTTCCACGCACTTCTTGACCACCGCGAACTTGCCCCTGCACAAGGAACCCAAAATAAAAGGGCCATTTAGTTTCTGCACGTTGTTGTATTAATGGCCGGGTTGGGGGTTAATGGTTAAATTGATTAGGCCATGGGAAAGCATGGAGTTGTGTACATATGAAAATCACCCTTGATCAGTCACATTAAACACTTATTGGGTAGATATTTTTAAGTAAATGCATGCACTCTTATCAGTTAGGTACTTCTCTCCACAAATTTCATTCAGGAGTTGCATCCCTCTGGTCTTAGGACTGCAAAGTACTGTAAAAACGCTCTGGACACTGATGATCCATCACAGGAAAATGCTTTAGTTACCAATCTGAGAGGACGTCTTGGCTGTTTCGCTGCATAAGAGAAAGCAAGGAAAATAGTGAACCTTTCAAAGGCCAAGTCAACTAACTTGTTACCAAATGCTGGCGTTACATATACATAAGGTGTAGCTAACAAAACAGACAGCAACTCGTTACTGAAAAGGCTGCAGGGACTGCATAACATTGCTTCTAGGAGGTGGGAAGACAGACCACTAATCATGTGCACAAGTTAACACTGTAGGTGGGGACCCCACTGTTCCTAGAGAGAAAGTGCCCTGCAAAACAGTGTCATTGTAAACACTGAGGCTGCAGTCACAGCGGTGCGTGTGAAACTACTGAAGACCTCACATCTGGAACCCACTCTACCAAAAGAGGATAGGGGAGGCACAGATCTGACGTATAGAACAAGCAGCTATGTACTGCTATACATCCAAAAAAAAAAAAAAAATCACGCCACTGTTCCCCAAACCTGTGTTGTCAGGCTACGACTAAAGATCCGAGGCTTACATATGGTACTAACTCACATTCTCAGTCAGCCAACATTCATTGTCATACTATTGAGGCACTCTGTCTTGGCACTAAGGCCCTAAGGTGCGATTACTAGAATTGCTCAATCCCTCAATTGCTGGCTGAGTTCCATACTTCAGAAGACAACCACTAGGCCACGCAGACCAAGTCTGCCAGTCAGCGGCCGGGGTCAACGTATTTAGAAGTGACTCTTCCGGCAGTGAGCAATGAGTCAGCAAAGCACCACAGAAGGAACTGATAACGTTATCTGCTGGCACCCTCGCTTCTCCCTCCCAGCTCTCCAGCCAGGCAGCGCAGGCAAAGGACCCAGCGAGTGGACTGATAAAACCGTGCCGACGATGACAAGAGCATCAGTTCTCAGACTCAAAGAAAAGCCTATCGATCCTTTATCACGAAATAACATTCAAGAGTGCAAAGGAAAGTTAAAGCCACTGCTCTGGGAGTCTCCTAGTGCAAAACCTACATGATGCGTGTTAAAAGCCCATGATTTTGGTATTCTGTGACAGTGTCTCATTCTTATTGCTGCATAGCAGGCAAACAATCCCCAACACCTCCACAGAGGCCTTTGTCAGTGCTTTGCCCCCCTGTGTCACTGACACAATGGGCTCTAATATATCCTACCGAGAGGCATCAGTCCCCTTCAGTACAGACCACCCAGACCTCAGTCCAGCCAGCACCACAGTGAGCCACTGGTTCCACTTTAACTGCTGGATCACAGTTTTCAATCACCCTGAATAGCATTACAATATCAATGACACCACAACCCTAGCACATACATTTGAAGAAGCCCCCCTCACACACCCACCCTTTTAACACATTGGTAAAAAGCTCTTCCACAATGGATGCTCCCTCTGTTAATTTTCTTGAATGAGCGAGAAAGCTCTTGCACAGAAACAACTCCACGTCTGTTAGCACTATACTACATTTTTAGAGGGCTTTGCCTGTTTAAATCTCACAGTTACAGAACCCTTTAAAATGTAAATATCATCCTTGCTAAAAACAGAAGACTTGTCTTGTGAAAGCTGTGCAGTGTTTTATTGAAGACCACATGTGGGTGGTTGTTTAGTACATAGACTGGATGGGAAACCTTTACCCCAAAGGTCTTTGCACTGGATATTTACTTAACACTTCTACTGCTACAAGATTAAAAACAAAAAAAACAAGTGGACAATTCATGCTACAGGACCTGCTGAGAACGAACCCAAGATTGCAAAGCAAATCCCTGCTGCCTTCACAAACATTTGCAAAATAAAAGCGTCTCGCCAGCGTCCATTTGGCCTCAGGTTAGGAGTCGCTTTGTGTAGCCGCCACAGCTTGTGGCTATATTGATTGGCGAGGGTGACAGTCTCACGGGGGGAGGGCACTTCCTGCAGGTGGAGGAGGGGAGAAGGTGCAACTCCATTCTCATTGTTTGGGGGGGGGGGGGGCTTTAGTCACAGGGCACCTTGGAGCCAGAAGTGTAACCTACAACAAGCAGACTAAGGTCTACAGGATTGCATCAGAACTTAGTAAGTTACAACAAACAGAACTGAGTCCACCAAAGCTCTGCTGTGCTGTCTTTGATTTCCAGATGGATCAATTGAGAACCTTGTTGTGGGGGTGGGGGTTGATATATCTGCCTTACAAGACATGACAGGTTTTGCCTGCCTAGATTTTTTCCATTTTGTTAATGGTCTCCCTCATTTGCGATTTATTACCTACATTTAAGGAGCACAAACTCAAATACTTTTTTGCAGGGGTAACTGTTCTTAAAAAAATATTTTCTTTCAGACCTTTCCACTCCTTATTAATTCCTAAACTGCCAGGTCACACAGGCACACAGGAAAGGAAGTTTTTTTTTTTTTGTTTGTTTCATCTACACCTGAGCAAACCTCCAAGCCCTTGGTGTCTTTCAGAGAAGGCAGTAGGAGAATTAATTTCCTCTTGCAGGAAGGAATTTTGATGGAATAATTAGTAAGACAATGCCAGCAGAAGCACAAAATGGGCATCTTTTATAGGGAGCAGATTAGAATTGCAGACACCTGCTGGGCTAAAGAGTTACCCGTTTGCAAATCAACTGTCAAGATCCCAAGTCTTTTAGGAACCCAACATCTGGATTTACAAGTTAATGACAGCCTTCATTGGTTTAGCTCTTTTTGGATTCAGTTACATGTGCTATTTTACTGGAATCTGGCTTGGTAGAGAATCAGCACAGGAAAACCAGCAGTAATGAGGCTGCATCAAACTGAGAAATTTGGTTTTCCTGTCATGTCTGGGTTTCAGCAAGCTGGCGTTCTGTCTCAGGAAGAGTGACTAATATCCGAAGAACGTCAACAGACACCTCAGCTGCATCACTTTGCTGACCTACCTGGTTTTTCAATCGTTATTACTGGTCCACTAATTTATGAAAGGATTTCTTCCCCCCCATCTATGCGTCTTAATGAATCAGCATTCTCCAGCCCCTTGCAAAAAGCTGACACTTCAGCTTGTCTCACAGATAAAGTAGGTCGGACACGCAAATTAGTGAACACGGATGACCGAGAACAAAAAAGCACTTCTAAATAGATGGGATATCCCACTAACAGCAGAAAAATACCAACAAGTTCTTCTGTAATCTTTGTCCTCCATCCCCAAACATTAATTAAACCCAGTTGCAACACTTGGTAGATGATTCATGATATGCTTTATTACTCTAAAGCCACCAAAATTAAGAAATTAAAACCCCATGCTTTGGTTATGATTCTTTACAAGAAAGTGAGGCGAGCTATCAGAGACCTTGATCTGCAGAAATGCAAAACGATACAAACTGCACAGTGAAGATGCTTAAATGGAACAAGTAATGATTAAAACAGTGCGCACTACAAAACATCCGTGTTCCAACTACAGTGCAAAGCCCTAAGGATCAAAAAGGGTTTCCTTCAAGCATCTGCCTGACTGTTCCAGATCATCATGAATCAGAACAGTTATCTGGGGTTGGGGCAGGAGACAGGGGCTGCTACTGATTGAGGGTGGGGGGGGGGGGTGATCATTCCTTTCAGTCTCTTGGGTTTCTCATATTAAAGTTTTGACTACCCAACAAACTTAGAACAATAGCACAACATATGAAACACCGACTGACCTCTTACAGGTGTGAGGTCTATGCCACTTCTCTAAAAAAACTCCAGCATGAGAAACTACTTTGTGGTAAAGTTACAGTACTGTCCCAATCCACCTTACAGAAGTTACAAAGACTGTTCCCTCCAAAGACTGTAGAGCATTGAAGGGGGAGCACCTGGGGTCACGGGGTTCCACACAGCCTCCACTGACAGGAAAATGGAGTGTTTAAGAGGCTGCGAGCAAGGAGTGGATTAACTCCAAAACAGAAGTCACACACTACAGATAACCCCCTTGTTAAAACGGTTCTCTAATCTCAACAAGCTGCTCTACCAGCATCAGCTGTGTCCACATTCCGCAAATTAATGAGATTTATGGTATGTTAGGGTTGGGGTGTGTGTGACCCCAAAAATCAGGGCTCTAACATCATGCACAGGGCACCCCAACACAGAAGACACAACTGACATCTGGGGCAAAAAACATTTGGTTTCTGGGGTCTTTTATCTACTGTTTTTGAAACCTCTCAATCTAACGCATCAAAGCCCTGGAAAACTCATTTCCAGGACCCTTTGGAGCACAAAATCAATCCAAACCACTTACAAATTCAGGCTATAATTTCACTGCTGATTAAAGCAACAGAAAAAAAGCTGGGGCCCTGTTCTATGCTCTGCTTCTGAAATGCAGGTCAGGTGAACATCTTGAATCAAAACAGTGCACCCAGTAAAAAAATCACCCTTAACCCCAGAGTTCACAGCTTCGTCCACATGGTTTCACCGCTGCTGGTGCTGTTCTGCAGGCACTTGTGGAGGTCTGGGTTCGAAAGCAGCTGTGGAGGACTGAAGGAGGGGGTTGTAGGCCATGAACTTCAACTTCCAGAGGGCCGTCAGAAATTTACTACAGCGCCATCTCCCTCTGCAGGGGGTGTGACTGACAGTAACGCAATTAGCAGGACCAAAGTATCCTGGAAAAAAAAATTCCAGCACCGCGGCGCTGACCCCTTCTAGCGCAGCAGAAAAAAATAAACATTCCACCCCAAATTAGTAAGTGCCAAAGCCACAGTCCCTTCAGAAATCTACGGGTATATAACAGCCAACGGGAAATAAATTGGGGCATCACCTTCTCTTGAAAACCAAAGAACTTCATACACTAATTCACCCCTCTGATCCTTCTTGGGAACGTCAACACAGCCTCGCTTCATCAGGCGAATGAGTTTTAACGTGGTAGAACATTTAAAACGGCAGGAAAATGGATAATCAGAGAAAAAGCACACCCTCCCCCTGCTATTGTCCACTCACGAACAGGTTCTTCTTTTCTAATTGCTGAGCACGACAGCGCTCTCTTGCTAAAACCCCACAGTGTTCGCATTCGAAGAACCCGAACCTGATAAGAGGTCTTTACTGCCCTTCCACCCTACAGCAGGTGGACAATGAAGGCTCATCAGTTCAGAAAGTTTCCTGTACAGAATTGGGACGGTAAACATCAGAAAGTGCAGTTCACAGCAGCAAGTGCCCGCAAACCGGTCTGATGAAGAGACAAGAGAAATACTCGCATCCAGAAATACCAGCAGACCACCGAGTCAACGCAGACACGCCAGCGTTTACACAGACTGCAGAAGTGTGCGCTTTTCTGAGGACGCGCATCACTTCATCAAGAGCAGAACGGATTTTGTGTGCGGTAGTACGGACACGACACGACCCTAACAGGCTAATTTGAAACCTGGGGTGCTTTCCCCCCATTAAGCCCGAACGCGAACTTAATGCATCCAAGAACGCAGCCCTTAATGAAGCAAGGAATTCCGATGAGGAATTAAGTTTGCCCAGCTCGGTGTCAGGGAACCCGGCGACATAAACACTTAAAATAATCGGGTTTCGTTTCACGCCGTTGAACAAATCCCTGTACTTTCTCAGGGCAGGTCCGTGAGCACTGTAATGCTATTTAAATAGCGCACTCACGGGAAAATTTCCCACTTGGTGGCACAACAACGGCTAAGTCTGTCCACCCCCCCCGATTAACCGTGGATGCATTTTTCTCCAGATTAGTGCCCTCACGTGCGGAAGGGATTTTTTTGCAAAGACAACGTGTTTTTGTTTATGCCGCCGTCCACTTCATTCGAGAGATTATAAACCCGAGAACGTAGATCAGACTCCAGGCGCTCCACTCTGCGAGAAAGAAAACGTTCACATTTTGTTTTTGCAAGCGCTGTTAACTTACCTGCCCAGTTCTTTACCGACCAAGTCGTAATTGCTTTTGAAGGAGTCCGTTCTTATTCTGCTCTGAATCTTTGACACCATCCCGTTCCTGTTATCCATCATACTCGAGTCCGGCATTTGTATCAGTCTGTTTGTAGAATTAACTTTTAAGTTGCAGTTGATGTGGGTTTTTTTTTTTTAGATTTGTTGCATATCAAAGACCTTGTATGTACGAGATGCACACAAAAATAAAATAAAATTATAAGAGCCAGAGGCAGGAATCAAGTATCCGCGACGTATTTCGATTGCAGCAGCTGGTTAAAATTCCGTGTTAGACAAACTGGTGGATTTCAGATAGGTTTGCAGTTTTTGTATCCTTGTAAAAGTTCAAAAAACCTCGCTAAAAACTTTTCTTTCCGCGGATTTAACTGACTTTATTTATCTTTGATAAGTCGAAAACGTACTAACCGCAAAACATAAAAATCAGTTGCCTTTTACGAATCCTACGGTAATATTCACTAGCCTTTGTGAGCTACAACCATGGTCTGCCTTTTTATGTTTGAGAGAGAAGTGTTCATTTGAGGATAGCCGGACATACCGACCACAAAGCAACTTTACAAAGACCAGCCCTTTCGTGACGTCACAGTGCTGCGACCAATCGGTGAGCGCGAGCAGATTGGCGAGCTGGTGGGGGGTCACAATTCAAGTTGAGAGAAACAGAGTATCTATATCACAGACCGAAACATCGCGTTTTTAACTGATATTAAATATGCAAATTTTAAACAAGAGGCTAAGTGTACTACAAGATGTGTTAGGGTTAGGAAAAAATATATATTTTTAACGAGTGTTGATTTCGATGTCATACCTGCAGGTAACTTCAATCTCTCAAGCTCCTGCACAGTCACACAAGAACTCATCGCATTCCGGAATTATAAAACGCGAGTGTTGAACCGTGACAGATGAAAGATCATATATATTGCACTGCATTTGTACTGTGTGCAAAGGATATTCGAACCTGCCATCTGCGCAGTTCAGCGCATTTTTGTCTAAAAGGATATATACTGTACAACACAGAATGCGCTAGAAATCATACGTTTCCGTTAGCTGATTTAGTGGACCTGGTTACAGAAATATTGTGAAATAAGTCTTCAGTCATTGTGTACGATATCACCATGGTTTCAGCATTTTAAACAATCAATAGGCAATACGGCAGTAGTTAAAACACATTTGATCAACTTCAAGTACAATCACCTTTGTGTAGAAAAAAACTGTACATTTAATCCTGTATTGAATATAATAGAATATTGAAACTAATGCATTCACGTCGTCTAGCTCTTCTTTTCAGCTACTGAGCAAATGGGCTTCACTCAACCTATATGGCGTCTGTGCCAAGAGCAAAGCTTGGCAGCGAGGTAGACGCAAGGACTTGTCGGGCAGGATCGAGTGTTAGTTTTGTCTTGGACTGAGGCAATGGATTTCCTTTTGCTTTCCACCCAGAGGATCTGGCGCTGCATGTCGGCGCTAGTCAGGCTGCAAATAATGGCGAAAGAATGAGCTCCCAGTCCACAGTTACCGCTAAACACAAAGGAACACGCTGAGGAAGCGTGTGTGTGACTGTAAGGCAGACACCAGGAGGAATGATTCAAGCATTTAGGAACGCTTTTCTGCTTTATGCTATGCAGTATGCCTGTCCAGACATACAGTATAGTGGAAAGCATTTGTACTGTAGAATGTTGCAATACATGCAGGGCCTTTTGTGGAAATGAGTCATTCAGCCATAGTGAATTCATATAATGGAGAATAAGCAGTAGAAGAATTGTGAAATTGCTGAGAATATGCAAGGGTAAAAGTATTTTCTGGCAAGCTTGTTTAAATGATGCATTTTTCTGCAATGCCTTTTGCTGCTCGCAGTATGTCGGGGGAATGAAATTGCAGCAGGTGAATCCGTGCAGAACAAAATAAAAAGGATTGAGTGGAGGTTAATCCCACTGTCAACAGCAGAAAGAAAGAAATGAACAACATTTCGGGTGTGGAACGTTCTTGGGATCTGCAGAATGTGTTTCAGGCTCTCGTTTCTTAGTTTTCAGCCCAGGATTAAGTGCCAGTGCGCGACGATGCAGCTCCCCACTCCCACAGCTGCAATTACAGCTTGTTTTGGTCTTAGAGTTTTAGATAAACAAGCTTCCCATTGCTCATTTTTAACACTTCTCCCCTGAACGTCTTGCAAAACTCGATGAATGAAAATGAAAGCGCTGTGCTCCTGATTGGGAAAGTTGAAGAGGAATTGTGGCCGATCATGTTAGCTGCAAACATACTAACAAACTGAAATGTGGCCATTTAGGAATTCTGTCACCTAGACACTAGGAGCCTTTAGATGTATACAGTATGTACCACAGTCTACCTGGTACCTGAACAGCAGCACTGAAAAACCCAGAAAAACAGTCAGCAACAGGTTTTTATACTCAGATGAGAAGTCAGTAACGGTGGATCTTGTTATTAGGAGCACTGATAAATGCTACTGCATTGGTTTAGGCCGAGGCTGATGTCTAACATGCAGACTAAGATGCTCATAAATAAAAAGAGTAAAAAGACAAGCATTTGTAGGGTCATCAGTACTGAAATGGACACAACAGATTAGCTATGTGCTTTTAGGGATCCTGGAATGGGCATTCCTGTCTCTTGTCAGAAGTAAACAGGCCTCTGATGATGGATGGATCCCATACAGAGCCAGGAGGTTGCATATTAAGGATCAACTTGAGAACACTGTATGATGGAAACAGGCCATCTAACACAATGACAGCCATGCTCCCCTGTGCTAAGCGATTCTATCACAGTATCAAGTGCTGGTGTGTAATTAATTTGTGACTTGGCCTATGTTAAAATAATATTTTCAAGTAACAAGCAAAGAACTGATTTAATTTGAAATACCTGCAAGGTTCAACCTTATTTCTTCTCCACTAAATCTTTGCAAAGCCATGATCAAATCTTTTTTAAGGGGATGTCCTAAGCAGTGAAGAGTAAACCAGTGGTGGCGCTTGCTGATAGGAGGATTTCATGCAACAATTTCTTTTTTCTATTTCATTTTCTTGTTAATTTGGAAACCAGCTTTTAAATGAAGCAAGAAGTGCATATAAAAAAAGATGGAAAAGTGTTATGGCACACATAACAGCAAAATTTCCTCTATAAATTAGCAATGGTAGACACATGTGAAAGAATGTTTAACTGCAAACATATGGTTTTTTTAGGCTGCAAAAGCCAATTTGCATTTCTGCAAACAGATTCTGCAAAGGGGTTTTATTTTGAGAGAGGAATCTCATACATGGCATTCCTCAATTAGGCCCAGTAATGGCAGGTTACATAACCTTGTTATGACTCTCAAATTGTTACCTTACGCCTGTAAGTATGCCAAGTCACAACCCCAGGTTTGCCCTGTTGTAAGAAAAAAGGTCAAAGTTCAGGTCAGTCACATTAACGAGAGCTCAAATGGTCCCCTGAGCCCCTCAAAAGCACATACCAGCAAATTAGTCTGTCATTCTCATGGCTAACTAGTGTAAATTGTAGAGTTCATCCCTTAGTAAGAAAGCCCCACCTATTCTAAAGAAAAGCACATGCCTTCCAATACAGATCCGTTTTGTGCTCAGTGTTTTGTCCCTGTATTTTCCCAATCCCAAGGTTATTTATTTTAATATGCCATTCCTTGACTTGATCTATTAGCGTAAGGGGAGTATTATTTACGTCAGGAAAGAAAGCAGCTGAATATTGCAAAAGTTCTGTGACCTTTTTATTTTTTTAATGCAGACTCTTCCTGTGATTATATAACAGTCCTACACAATCGAGATCCCCCTAGGGAGCATGAAATGGGGTATTCTGTACTTAAGTTTAGCTTCTTTAAATAAACTAGATTGTTTAACAGAAAGCCTTTTGTTCCCAGGATGAGACTTGCTCTTTTTTAATCATCTTACAATAGGAAGTGATGATATAACTGTTTTCTCCTGAGATCTCATGACAGGCCCTGTGGTGGTGCTTTTAAAAAGCGACAAGGAGACATCTGTAAAGAATGACTAATTGTTCATATTCTCTTAGCTCGTTGCCCCTTGCTTTTTTTTAATAAAGAGCATGGTGGCCTGGCTTTCAATTCACAGTGGAAAGAAAAGTAGAACTCCCCTCCTTAAATGTCTGTGAATATGTGACTCTGTCCTGGGTGGAGTGGGTATGATGACAGTTGGATGGGCTAGCACCACAAGTGTTACAGTTATGGAAGTCAGATCTCTGCACTAGGCCAATATTACATGCTGCGTTTCCTACCAAAAGCTTAAAATTCTTCGAACACATTGCAACACATTGCTTAAAGAATCGTCAGCCTGGATCTTTAAACCAAGTGTGGGGGGATTCTTGCTCAGAAATAGCCATCACACTGCGCGCAGGCCGAGCTCCGTAATTCAGAAGTTGCTTGTTCACATCTCGGCCAGTTGTGATCAGGTTTTTTCCACAGGGGTGTGTAAGTTTGGTTGAGGCCCGCTGGGTCTGGGTGGTGTCTCTCTCAGCTGACTGGGGTAACCTTGTGTCCCCTCTGGGCATCTGCAGGGTTCCGTTACTTTGCATGTGTGCTCCTTGGAGCCATAAGAACATAAAGTGTGCTGAGAGCATGAGTACAATTACAAACAAAAGGAGGCTTTTTGATCCATCAGGCCTGCTTGAAGCCAACAGCCTTAATGCGTGTGCTTTGGAATATGTGTGGAACCCTTCTTGAACTCTCTTGCCAGATGTTACCTGGTTTCCTTACTGTTCTTCCCCAATCAGCTTTGAGAACCCCTTTCTCAAAGAAGCCCATTTTGTGGAGCAACTAAGATGAGTGAGAGCTTTAAGCACAGAATGCAGATCATCACCTGTTATACAGTATGCAACATAACAGAGGCCTGTGGGGCAACGCAGACAATATCAACAAAAGCGTTTGATCCTTTTGTGAAAAAAGCAGTGTGAAATTGATACTGTAACTGCATCTAAGGATCTGTGTTGCCTATTGGAAGTAGTCATTACACAACAGGCTGAAACGAAATTATTGCTGGGTGTCGCCTGAATTTGCTTTTAGTTCTTAAGAATAAATTATTAGTTACAGCGGCTTGTATTTTTAAAATTAATGGTTTATTTTCAGTTTCAGGGAAGCTGGTGCTCTATCCTCTATCTTCTACAGTACATTTGTACTGTAAAAAAAGTGATTATTTGTTGAAGGTGCATACACATCTTTTCAGACCACTCCCTCTGAGTATACATGGTTTTTACTCCTGGGTTTGTACAGTAGGTCTTACGTTGTTGCGTTACAGTATGGCGCACTTTTATTTGGAATAGATACCATGCTTGCAATCAAGTAGAAAAAAATATAGCGATAGAAATAAGATCTCCATTTCTTACAAACGGGTCCTTTTACAGCTTTAGACAAAAGTGCATATTTAAAGTATATGTATCTCTTACAAAGAAGAATGGAGTATTTTAAGAACACAGTCACTGTCATTATTAATTACTGTCACCATTTCAAAACCAAACCATCTAAACAGATTTTTAATTCCACATGTACTTTTGCACATATAAAATAGAACT